CGGCCACAGCAACAACATCAGCACAAACATCATCTGTAACTGGTTGTCATACTCATGGCTCAAGTATTTACTGCATTGATGGAGATGGCCACGAAGTTTTAGTTTCGGCGACATCTACCCCTACAACCGGAGTACCAGCACAATACACCGGGTGTCACTCTCACGGAAGCGAGTCGTAAGTCCACAACTATAAAATTTTGTGGCAATATACTGACCTAAAAAAATTCTAAGATATTGCATGGATGCAGATGGAAACGATGTCCTGATTCAAGAAGAAACGGAAGTCAAGAGCGGGACGACTGAAAGTCACAGTGAACATGACCACGAGGAATCCTCAAGCGAAGCACAACAAAACTGCCACTTCCATGCTGGCGTCGAGTAAGTTTGTGACTTTTTTGCCCCAAGATTTGTGCGTTATTGACTTTGGCCATTCTAGACACTGCGTGGGTGCAGGTGAATCAGAGGAAAACACTGCGCCATCGTGTGGTATCAAAGCAAGAGACTACGACATCCCCCTGAGAATTGGCACATTGTTTGTCGTACTTGTCACTAGTTCGATTGGTGTCTTTGCCCCTATTCTCCTGATGAAACTTCCATTTGCCTCTATCAATGGAGTGGTCTCCACCGTCATCAAACAATTCGGAACTGGCATCATCATCGCCACGGGTTTCATACACGTAAGTGATCTTGGTCTTGACAGACACACCACTTGCTGACTACTTCCCTTAGCTATACACACATGCAAACCTCATGTTTACCAACGAGTGTTTGGGTGAACTCGAGTACGAAGCAACTACCTCCGCCGTAGTCGTGGCGGGTATATTCATTGCTTTCTTGCTGGAATACATTGGCCACAGGATTATCGTTGCTCGCAACAGCAAGAGGAACTCCACAGAAACCGTATCATCCGAGTCTGAGTCGCAGGAAACACAACAGAAGGGACAGCATGACCAGTCCCCAGACCAACAGCAACAGTCCACATTGGCTGGTCTTGGGCACAGTCACGGCTCATTGGATCTTACCGGGCCCAACAGCAAATTTTCAGTCATGGTCATGGAAGCGGGTATACTCTTCCACAGTATCTTGATTGGTCTTACTCTTGTCGTTGCTGGGGACTCGTTTTACAAGACGCTTCTAGTCGTGATTGTGTTCCACCAATTCTTTGAAGGGTTGGCACTCGGTGCTCGTATTGCAGTCCTACCGGGAGCTATATTCCCTTCCAAAGCGTCTATGGCGGCGGCATTTGCCTTGATCACACCTATTGGCATGGCTATTGGGCTTGGTGTTCTTCACACCTTCAATGGTAATTCGAGGGGCACTTTAATTGCACTGGGAACATTGGACGCGCTGTCTGCTGGTATTCTGGTGTGGGTTGGTGTCGTCGATATGTGGGCGCGTGACTGGGTAATTGAGGGAGGTGAAATGATGGATGCGAAGTTGGGAAGAGTTTTGACCGGTGGTATTTCCTTGGTCAGTGGGCTAGTATTGATGGGAGTGCTAGGAAAATGGGCTTGATCACTTGCACATGTACATAGTTAGCCTGATCCCAAAGAGTTCAAGCATTAAAAGCGGCTCATCTTGAGCATTTTTCACACTCCGTACTTCGTGTTTAATCCGAATTCCGGGCTATAGCTTCGCTCGTTAACAAGTTGAATAATATTGAGGTCAGAAGACAGGAACAAAACGCATATCAGTGCCTCTCCCAGCTCTCGATGTTCGTCTTTACCACAACAGCTCAAGAGGCCATTCTTTGATAAGGAATAATTGTAAGAGTCAACGAATCCCCAGACAGATTATTATGGGATGCCGTAGGGTTATCAGAAGATGAAAAAAGCGTTCATAACCTACTGTGACGTTCCCGGCAGAAAGCCAGAAGAGAGATGTTGATTAGAAAAGAAATTGACTGAAAAAGCTAAGCTTAGAAAGGCTATATTCGGTTATTTCCATCATCTCGCATACACTCCTAGTCAAAAATGACAGTTATCGAAATGCTTGCGATTCAAATGCTACTAATCAAGTCATGCATGTCACTCAATCTCCCTGTGTATCTTGTGTTAACGATATCGGCTTTAGAACATTTATCACAGTCTTATTCTTTGGACTTGGGGTTGCGAATCATGCAATATAACTGGGATGGCGTGAGTCAGTCATTTAATAGGGAACATTCCAGCCAAGAGGGCATACCTTGCAAACGTCCCCTCCATCCACGCATTCAATCTCCTTGACCAATTCAAAGCCCATTCTTTCATAAATACCCACGTTTGGATACCCCTTAGAGCTCTCGAGGTAGCATGGCATATTCTCCCGATCGGCCTTCTCCATGACATTCTCCATGAGCTTCTTTCCCACTCCCATGCCACGCGCCTCTGAATCAACACAGACGACATTGCAAAAGTAATACCCGCGGGGGTCCTGCCAAATGGCATCATGCGCAGTTTGCTGCACCTGCTTCCAAATCCAATACCGGTGCACATTCAGACCACCGCGACCAAGGAAGCGAATATTGTTCATGAGCTGGCGGAAGGAAAGAAGCCAGTCCTGTGCCCAAACAGACCAGGTTTGAGTCATGGAAGGCACTTGTGGCGAGTACCACCAGGCAACGCCGACCACAGTACCGGCCGGCAAGCGGATATCGCCATCGCTCTTGCTTTCATTGGCGGCGCGGGTTATCTTGGCGACAGAAATGGGGCAGCCGCAGTTGATACCATATCGGAGATGAGCAGCGAGGGAGGCTGCGTTTCGTTGGATGTTAAACTGTCAGACCCCGTTATTACTTAGTTCGATATCCACGTCGTTTGTTTTCACTCGTTTTTTTGTTTTTTTTTTTTGTCTGTCTTTCTCAAAGCCAGAACGAAGTCTTCGGCTGGTGGCTCGAGGAAAAAGATGTCTTCATACCTTGGATGGATCATCAAACACCCAGCGAAAATAGGGATCATCGGCGAAGGCTTTCTGCACACAGTCTACAGCCCCAGGTATGTCGGTCTGAGCCAGCGGGGCGATTTCGATTGACATTGTTCTTGGCTTGTCACTACGTTGTTTTTGTTTTTTTGTTTTTTGTTTTTTTGGACGGCGACAATTCTTTTAGTGAACGGCTTTAGATGCCCGGGTACTTTTTCTACTGGTTCTGCGGATAGCTTGACACAGAGATATAGTATAAGAATGCCAATGAAGACGTTGGGGACAGTGAGAGATAAAGACAACCGCCATCTAAGTAGAATTGAAGTGGTGATGGTCCACGAGTTGATGGAGGGCAAAGTGAGGGAAGCGAGATCTTCGTTTATTGTAGGGGTGTCTGCAATCGAGTAAATAATGAGTAGAAAGTCACTGGTACTCCAGGGCTGAGGAACGGGGCTCATATAGCTGAGCTGGATGGTGATCTCCGGGGCCATTTGATTGTCACGCTTATCTTGTCCTCGATGTATGTTCCAGGGTTGCATGTCGCTAGCCTTTATAGGAAGCTCCACCCGGAACAGGTACATATGCGCTGTGGAGGTGTTATGGCGCCCCTCCACTCAGATTACCGCCCCGTTGTGGCCCCGGCAGTAACCGCAGCTAGACGAGTTTAATACAGACCACACGACTATCTAGTGCAAGCATGCACATATTAGTACATCGTGGATGGGTTTGAATAACCTCAAATTATTCGGCAAGATTGTCGATCTCATATGTGCTGTAACTAAACGCGGGGGGGCGGACTGGTATTGGATCATGTGGAGCCAGTGTAAAGCTAATCCTAATAAGGCAGGTCGTTGCGTCATTGGCTCAATCGATTGGGGGGCGTCTCGGGGTTATCAGTTCAGCCTGGAGGACTGATAAGAAGATACAAGGTCCTAATTAGAGTAAACGTTGGAAGTATACCTATACTTGATCTTGTTTTAAAGTCTGGTAGTGTGTATTTTATTTGATATCTCCAGATTCCTTGGCAACCTTGGAAGTACATAATACAGGTAAACAACGGAAAATTATTCCGGCCGAATCCTAAACTCATAACCTCGGTAAAACCATGAAAAATCAAAGCAAATATGTCTCTATTAGACGAGAAATTTATGTCGAAAGTCGTGCTGATGTCCCACACAGTGTATACTATAGTTTGATCCTGCGTAGCTCGGAAAAGAATCATGGATCCTGAGGGACACATTGAGAAAGTGAAATAAAACATGTCCAGATCAAAGTCAGAATTTGTCTTGATAGACTTGGCGTACGACTAACTTCTATAGAGTCTTTAAAAAGATGCAATGAAAAACATGAAGTAAAATATTCACGCACATTGGTATTTGCATCTACCTAGCAGTTGCTCCTTTGTTTGGTGACACATGGTCACCTGCTTTTTTTTTGGCCTGGTTTAACTACCCCATGCTCTACCCTTTGTACTTCCTCTTTGTTGATCGAGTCCATCCATTTGACGAACTTAAACATGATGAAAATGCTAAAAACCGATACTTGCAGCAAGGTATCCACATAGAGGTTATGGCATTGGTGTTACGATTTCTTTGAGAGTTGGGCCCGGTCTCTTAGTTTTCCAACTCCTATGCAACTGTGAAAAGATCTATCGGGCTCCTTTCTGAAGTCAAAAATTTACAGTTATTGCCCTCATCGTGGGCTATATTCTCTCTTTTGATTGTGAGTACAGCGGAGGCGAAGAGTTTCTTTCTTGACGAAATATAACCAGGAGATGTCCAAAATGCACTCAAAGGTTCGATATGCCTTTTCTTCCCTGATAGAGTAAAAATAAATCTTTGTTGTCATTTCTGTCTTTGTCAAATACATCAACCACAAAATCGAATCAGTGCTAACTCTACTCCGTGCAAATGCATAAATAACTCCGATCCCCACCACCTTTTCATAACCCGCAAGCAATCTCCGAGAACACATCGGATTGTGCATCATCGGAGAATTCGGTTATCTGCTTGCAACTTGTTTGTTCGGGAATCGTCAACAGATTTCGCTTCCAAGTCACACTTCAACCAGCTTCTCCATCACCAGTCCGATATCCGCCTACGATGCCTCATGATAATCTTGAGCGCCTGCTAGCCAACGATCCCTACAACGAGCGGCGCATTTTCCTTCTGTCATGCGTGCATGACGCAATCTACTTTCTTCGCCATGGACCGCATCGTCGTCACGATGTGATTTCCTCGTTGCAGGAGGAGATTCTTGGCGCAATTAGCATCGGCATCTCAAGCGCGGTTGTGGAACATGATCCTCAGTTTGAGCGGTTGTGTCGTAACCTTGAGCTTGTCGCGCCGATCTCACTCAGGATTCTCAGAAAGTATAACGACCGGGAGAGCGACGAAGATGTTGCAGATGATCTCATTAGCTGCATCCCCACCGTTTTGCAACAACCTACTCAATGGGATCCAGAAGTGGAAGAGGCTACTGGCGAGGAACGGTTTGAGCAGCAGAGTAGACGACATCACCGTCACAGATAGGTATGGCTTTCTAGAGAGGCGGGAAATCAAGTATTGGTCATAGGCCTGGCAAGGTTTGGAGGATTTTCTGTTCGAGTGCATTTGCTGCTGCTTGTATGTTTCAATGACAAACAAATGATAGAATTCTGTCCTTATTGCTCCAAGTAGTTTCTCGGGGCTCCTTCTATGTATCAACACAAGCGCTTGTCACATGTATTTTCTAGTATATGATCTTGCTCTAACTAGATAGATTCGAGGGGTGAATCGTGATTGTCACAAGCAAAGCATCATAAGCTTCATGTCTTAAAGTGTCAGTGGTCTTGTCTAGCAGAGTCTCCGGAGGCTAAAGCTTGCTTGGGGGCACTTTCTTTGATAGTAGAACAAACAAATCCCAGGGCCATACGCAAGTTGGACAATTCAATAAACTCCAGCAACATCATATTACCACCGAATACATTAAACTCCTTTTAAACTATCAGAAAAATCATCAAAAAATTGGCAATAATCAACCCGATCTAAAATTTTATCAAGAAACAACCAATCAGTACCTGGATCTTCCCCAATTCAACCAAACAATCTAACCACGATTCCGTCCACGATGAAACCGAGGCAGGAAAGCGGGCGCAGGCTCAGTGGCAGTCTCTATCGCAACACGAGTGAGGTTCACTGCACTAGTTGTGGCATTGTGGACAATAGATGTGTTGGTAAAGAGGGCCGTCGCTGTCGTGTTGCTAAATAGCTGCCGGCGAATAACATCGGGATCGATCTTTGCTCGCGGAGTGACACGCGATGCCCCTGGAGTCACAGGAGATACATGTGCAGATGTCGTAGGCAAAGTCACGAGGGTAGCTGGTGTGGTGGGCGAGGCTGGTGTGACTGTAGTACGTTCTCTGCTAGTGGTCGGTATGAGTGGTGTTGATGTTCGGGTTTGAGTCAGGGTCTGAGTCAGGGTGTTGGTGTTGGTGCTGGTGCTGGTTCTGGTGGGTGAGGCTGTTGGGCTGCCAGTTGAGGAGGCTACGCCAGTGTGGCTAGTTGAGGTTGCCACGCTGCTAGTTGGGGAGGCTGTGCCGGTGTGGCTAGTTGAGGCTGTCGGGCTGCCAGTGGTGGAGACTACGCCAGTGGAGCTAGTTGAGGTTATCACGCTGCTAGTTAGAGAGACTCCTCCAGTGGGGCTAGTGGCGGGGGGAGCACCTCCGCCAGGACTTTCAGTGGGGCAAGGACAACCTGTTGCTCCAGTGCCCGGGGCCGAACCAGATGTGACAGTGACGGTAGTGGTGCTCACTATGGCAGCGGGACAAGTGACCGTCACTGGGACCACCGTCGTCTCCTTGGATGTGGATGGAGTAGGACAGGCCGGTGGTGCTTCGCTTCCAGTGGTAACGCTGGGAGTTGGGGAAGGAGGCACGCTACCACCTCCAGTGGGAGATGTGTGAGCGGTGCTTGTCTGCTCACTAGTAAAGGGAGATGTCTGACCAGTGTTAGTAGTTTTAATGACTACTTCAGGAGAGGATGGCGGAGTGGTTCCACTGGGGGAGGACTAACATTACCGCCAGTTGGAGGAGCAGATCCGGTTGTTGTGGTAGCCCCGCCAGTCGGGGAAGTTCCAATGCCACCGGTTGGCGTACCAGTCGTACCCCCGCCGCCGCCAGTAGGTGAGGTGCCGCCTTGAGTACCAGGGAGAGTAAGAAGGGTGCTTTCAGAAAAAGGTAGCAGTTTACTCACCTCCTCCGCCAGGGACCGTGGTGCTGCCACCTCCGCCAGGAACTGTAGTACCACCACCTTCACCAGGAACTGTAGTACCACCACCTCCACCAGGGACTGTAGTGCCACCACCTCCGCCAGGAACTGTAGTACCACCACCTCCGCCAGGAACTGTAGTACCACCACCTCCACCAGGGACTGTAGTGCCGCCACCTCCGCCAGAGACTGTAGTACCACCACCACCACCTCCGCCAGGGACTGTAGTAGTCTCAGGCTTCGGGCCTTTTGTCGTAGAGAACTCCTCAGTCAACACAGAAAGTAGCGAGCTCACAAGTTCAGGATGGTTGTGGCGCTCCTGCAAGCCAAAGTCACGCTCTTCTCGACGACGATCCTCGAGGCCGGGCTGCTCTAGCGCCACATCCGGGACAGCTACGACACTATGGAGGAGTGTCCAGCAGGCCAGCAGAATCAAGCATTTTGTTGGAAACATGATTCGGACCAAAGCCAGTAAATGCAGGGCGATGAAGCAAATGTGGCCGATTTGCGGAGAACAGGGACCAATTAAAGTTCGCCTATAGTTCCAAGCGTTGTCAAATCGATAAATGAGCTGATGTAGAAGACAACTCTACCTTCAGAGCTCCTCGGATAGCAAGCCTAGCGACGAAGCGAAATACTCACCAGATGAGTTCGAGGCGAGTAAAAGGAAAGCAGACTCCCGGATTAAAAAGGACGTTAAGGAGGGAACGCGAGAATACCGTCGTATATGTAGCGAGAGGTTGGAAAACTCAATGGTGATGGATTGATGAACATTGGATGTCATCACAGCGATAGGATTGGCCAGGCGTGATGTCGATGTTTGTTTTTGGTTTAACTTTCGACGTCTTTATAGTTCCCATGGTGAGAGCTGACCCTGCTCCTATTGGAAATCTTTCCCAGTGGTGAAATCCATGGCTGGATAAGGTACAGAGGCATCATTGTGACTAGATGTTTACATAGGTCCGGTGCCTGTCGGGTATCTTATGCGGTATGTTCTGCCCTGTTCAGCCCTGCAGAGAACCTGAACCTGAGGTACCAACATTTATGTTTTTTATATTGCCTCAATGGCGGCAAATCTTTTTTATCGCTAACCATTAGTACGATTGGGAGATCTATTTGTACGGCTGAAGGGCCGAACCGACCATGTCGGAAACGTTATCCGACGGGGTGGTGAATTATATAACTGCAATCACAGATTGATAAATATAGACATTAGTAGCAGCTATGTATAACAAATCGCTCAGTTATGAACGCTGGGTAGAAAATGCAAGTCGAGGAGAAAGGAAACTTTTCTATCTTAGCTCATTTTTGAAATCGTGAGATCGTGTCGAAATTACCAAATCACCAGCATCGGGGTCCCGGAAAGAACCCAGAAATTTAATAGATCGCGAGAGGGTGACGCCAGCCAACTTGAATGACCTTTACGGAAGTACAGCATGCAAGACCAGCCGCATAGCAGCAGACAGTAAATGTGATCAGGCCCCAGTAGGATCCATTGCAGCGTGCCAGGATCTCACCTGCAATAGGGATTCCGGTGAGAGTGCTGGTGGCAAAAGGGTGTTAGTTATGGATACGCAGGTGACATCACAAGGGAAAATAAAACACTCACCCGAAGCTCACTATGGTATAGGCAGTTGCGTAATACCGGCCATAGTTCTCGGTTTTGCAGAGCTGGCCAACACAGACTGGCGTCAAGCTGATATTGCTGCCGCTCGAGAATCCAAAAAGAGCAGCGTAAACGATCAGCAAAGGCAGACTATCTCCGGCAGGAAGCCACAGGCAGGCATTACAGAGCACGCAGAGCGCGACCGTCGCGATCAAAGTGTTAAAGCGACCAAGGAAATCGGCAAAGAAGCCAGGCAACCATCGCCCGAAGAACGAGCCGGCATTCAAGATGGCAATGATCTGGTATGAAAACTTGGTGGGAAAACCATGGTCGAGAGCGTATGATGAGATGTAGCTAATTGGCACGAAAAGTCCCCACTCAATAAAGAAGACGCTGGCGGTAGTAAGTACAAATCGCGGGTCTCGGAATATGCGGAAGTCAGGGAGCACATTCTCCTTGGAAAATGGCTTCTGCGGGAGTCGAGACCTAATCAAGAGATTCGCAATCGATAGCACAATTAGGCAGATCAACGCGACAACCCGAGTGGCCCAAGCCCAGCCAATCTTGGGGAAGAGGTCTTCTAGAATGAGAGGGAAGACAATGCCTCCGACAGAGCCACCAGTGGCAGCAATGCCAGTTGCGACTCCACGTTTCTCGTAGAAATAATGTCCAATCGCCGAGAATGCCGGTGTGAAAATGAGGGACGCTCCCACTCCACCCAATACACCGATGACCATCATAAAGTGCCAGTATTTAGTGCAGAATCCGAGGAGGATTATCATGGCCATTTCTAATACGGAACCGGCAAAGACGAGAAGTCGTGGGCCTCGAGCGTCGAAGATGGGACCGATTTGCACTCCACAAAAGAAAGTGAGAAAGGCAAACATTCCAAAAATCCAACCATTGGTTCCTGAGCTGTATTCCTTCAGTTGGTGGTTTTGGACATATGCTTGGAAAGTGCCAATGGTATTGACCAGGCCCAGCGATCCAAAGAGACCGAGGAAGCTGCCCAGCACTACCAGCCAGGCTTCGAGACCCCCCTCCGGGTAGGTGTTCCCTTCGGCGTCTGTCGTCACTCGACTAACGGGGTCTCTTCTGGCTGACCTTTGAGACGGTGCCACGGTAGATGCTGTCCGATATACATCCTCCGAGCTATGTTCTTGCTCTGGTACAGCCTCCATGTCAAATTTCTCATTGTTCATGTGAACAGTAACTTTCTCATCAGGGACTGTTGTAGTGCTCTGTATGGTGTTCACGGTATCAAACGCATGGTCGGTCTTACTGGCAGATCCGACATTGGTAGGCATTCTATGTGGGAGGAGCAGCTTTGATATTCTCCACTTGCATTAAAAGGGAAGTGCTAGATTTCTTGAATTTAAGGATCCGAGGATCTGAAAGGTTGGAAGGAGGGGAATTACATATTAGCAATCGGAACCTCTTAAAAGAGTATGCAAAAGGGCCCAGGCTCTGAGAATTTTCCGAGGAATTATTCTCATTGGGCAGGGAAGGATGTGGATCCATCGTATCGACCCGAACACCTTAAGACTATGTGAATCTTACTGCTCTATACTGGCTAGGCCAGTTCTCTTTGGTAATCATATCGAATGATAATCTATACATGTCTCATTTATCTGGATTCATCGGTGTACGGCATACAGTTCACTAGTTGGTTATGACTACAGCAGTTCAACATAGTGGCAAAACTCCGAATTTCCGAACTCCCGATCTCCGTGAGACTACCCAACTACCCGAAACGCAAGCGGAGTACATATACCTACATCCGGGGATAGTGTCAATCATTCATACTAGACTAGGCATGAATCAGCTTGCATTTGAATGTACATAACTTATTCAGGAAAACAAGAAAAATATATGTTTAAATGACATGTGGACAATGTCGAAAAAATAAATTATAGTTATTTGAGATAGCACGAAATCTGATGTGATGCGGGTAGATATATATGCCTGCGGTCATGTTTTTGTGTCTCTTGGGCAAGTGTCGTCGGCTATCAAACCCATGTAAAGCCCATATAACCTTCCAAGGTCAGAACCTCGGAAAGCATGAAATGTCTAATATTTTTAAAGAAATCCAACCGTAGAAGTTTTGGTGTGGGATCTGTCTACAACATAGGTGATTTTGTCGAGTAGTTTCAAAAAGAATAGTTGCCTCGGCTTATGAGACATTAAAATGCCCCCTCTTCCATCGAATTGGGCTTGTGGTTTAGTGGTATAATACTCCCTTAGCATGGGAGTGGTCCGGGGTTCGATTCCCCGCGAGTCCATTTTTTTTTGTTTATCTATGTTAGACCATGTCAAATAAAAATAATTACATGGGGCTAGCGTGGTGCATTTTGAGGTGAGCTGCTGACTTAGCTGCTCCCGCGCTTTGCTCAGGTCGTGCTCAGTAACCAAGTGGATCGGGCTACTCAGGTCACGCTCAGTGAACAAGCCTGGTGATTATATAATACTCAGGGACGTGCTCAGTTGTACTCAGTGAGCAAAAAGCGGCAAGGACTGAGCACTAAGACGGAAATGGGTACCTCAGAACAAGACGATCGTTGTGCCTATGTAGTACTCTGTACCTGGGCCGAAGCCTAGCAGGGATAAGAAGCATGCCAGACCAATTGCGAATTGCGAGGTACCCCCGCTTCTCTCAGACGGAGTTTGTTATCCCAAAGTGACAGATAACTGTCGATCTCACCGGAATCCGTCGCTCATCCGGTCCCAATGATAGATGTGCACAAAGGGGTCGACTTCTTACACCAACTATTTATGATATTATTTCTTATAAATATCCAACACCGCGGATAAAACTATCGGGATACCCCTCGATTAGGGAACGAAGGAAGTAGCAACAAGATTCACAGGCGATCTTTTCTTTTTCCGGGGTCGACCCCGGGATGGCCGAAGAAGCCGATATCAGTGGAGACCTGCTCTCGAACAAGGGATTCGAGGGTTGCGCCCAGGTGGCGCAGAAGAAGCATCCTCAGGCCTGAAGCTAAGGATTTCTTCCAATCACCCACTTGGAATCAACCCAATATGGTAAGGCGACCTTTTATTAATTTAAATGGGCCTTCCGAGTGCATGATCAGAGGCTACTGGTAGGCCGTTTCGGTGGGGATAGTATATAGCTGCATCCCCTCCCCGAGAATAATAAGTAGACTTATTCTATCTCCCTCCTGGCCCACCCATACCAATCCAGGATGTTACTCAAATCACTCCTGACATCTGCTATCCTAGCCCTTTCGCTGGGATCAGATCTTGCGGCTGCTTCCAAACATGGACGCTTTGCAGAGATAGCTCGTGCGCCACAGGAGAAGGCCAAACGAGTGGTTGAGGCCCGTAACCACAACCCTAAGAAATCGGACAAGGATTACCGTTTCTTGAACAAGAAGACCAAGCGTGAGTGTCCTGTTATATCATTGTCAGCAGCAAGAATCCTAATAGACTCATAGAGTACCTGGTGGACTCCCTGCCGGATGTTGCATTTGATATCGGCGAGATGTATTCTGGTCTGGTACCAATTGATATGGACAATAGCTCCAGGTCGCTCTTCTTCATCTTCCAGCCTACCATCAACGAGCCTGTAGACGAAGTAACCATCTGGCTCAACGGTGGCCCTGGATGCAGTTCGATGGAGAGTTTCTTGCAAGAGACTGGTCGCTTCATCTGGCAACCTGGTACTTTTGCCCCGGTGGAGAACCCTTATGCTTGGGTCAACCTTACCAATGTGCTGTGGTAAGTAGTTATCATGCTCACGAACCTCAAAAAAAAAAAAAAAAAACAAACGTTAACATCTCGCAGGGTCGACCAGCCTATTGGAACAGGTTACTCCGTCGGCACACCAA